GGTGCGGGGGGCGCGGGGGAGGCGGCGGCTGCTGCGGCGGGGAAGGAGCTGCTGCAGCAGCAGAGCCCCGCAGCAGCAGCAGATGCTGCTGCTGCTGCTGCTGCTGCTGCAGCAGCAGAAAGGGATGAACACAGAAGGGCCCAAATGACTCAGGAGGAAATTCAGAAGCAAGAAATCTGGAGAGAAAAAATCCGAAACGCAGAACGCGGGGTCACCCCAGCAGCAGCAGCAGCAGCAGCAGCAGCAGCAGCAGCAGCAGCAGCGGGAGGCGCTGCGGCCGCGCGGAAGAAAAAGAAAACCAAAAAGAGAAGCAGCAGCAGCAGCAGCAGCAGCAGCAGCAGCAGCAGCAGCGACAGCGACAGCGACGCGTCGCCGCCTGCGGCCGCCAGCCAACACCAGCAGCAGCAGCAGCAGCAGCAGCAGCAGCAGCAGCAGCAGCAGCAGCAGCAGCAAGAGGGGCTGCTGCTGAGGGCCCCCGGCATGGAGGGGCCCCGTCTGGAAGCAGAAATGCTGAAGAACTTCCAAGAGACACAAAAGAGGAGACAGGAGACACAAGACAAGCTGCAGCGGCGGCTCAGCAAAAAGCTGCAGCAGGGGCAGCAGCTGCAGCAGCAAGAAGTCGCCAGTCAGCTTCCCACCCCTGCTGCTGCTGCTGCTGCTGCTGCTGCTGCTGCTGCTGCTGCTGTGGATGCGGATGCAACTGCTGCAGCAGGTGCTGGCCTGGTCCAGGGCCCGTGCGCCTGCTGCTGCTGCTAGTGCTGCTGCTGCTGCTAGTGCTGCTGCTGCTGTGGAGTGCTGCTGCTGCTGCTAATGCTGCTGCTGCTTCTGTTGCGCTGCTGCTGCTGCTGCTGCTGCTGCTGTGCAGAGCTTGCTGCTGTTCTCGGCAGCGACTTTGTGTCCTCCAAACATTTCCGGGGAGAGAAAATGGGATTTGTCTTCAAGACCGGAGACCAAGGTCAAATTGCTGCTGCTGCTGCTGCTGCTGCTGCTGCTGCTGCTGCTGCTGCTGCTGTGGGGTGCTGCTGCTGTCGTGGATGCGTGGCGCTGCTGCTGCGCTCTCTGTTGCTGCTGCTTCTGGTGGCATGTTGCTGCTGCTGTTGTTCGGGGCTGCCTATTCATCTTTTCCTTTTTGCTGCTGTTTTACCTGCTGCTGCTGCTGCAGCTGCTGCTGTTTCACGACTTGCTGCTGCTGCTTCACGTGCTGTTAGAGCTGCTGCATGTGCTGCTTCTGCTTTGCCTTCTCCTGCTGCTGCCCTACCTGCTGCTGCTGCTGTCCTAAGTGCTGCTGCTGCAGCTGCTGCTGCAGCTGCTGCGCCCCAAGCTCTGCTGCTGCGGCCCTAAGTTCTGCTGCTGCTGCTGCTGCTGCTGCTGCAGGCGTGGGTTATTATAAAGACCAGCAGCAAGTGCAGCGCCTCTTCGCAGAGACAGGAGGCCGAACTGCTGCTGCTGTTGCTGAAGATTTGGTGAAGCAGGGAAAGATGCATGCGAAGCAAGCAGCAGGGTTGCTTGCTGCTGCTGCTGCTGCTGCTGCTGGCAGCAGCAGCAGCAGCAAGCTGCAGCACAGCAAGAAGAGGAAGCGATCCTCTTCCTCGGACTCTGACCGCAAGAAGAAAAAGAAGAAAAAGAAGAATAAGAAACATAAAAAGGCAAAGGGTGAGCTTTAGGGTTTAGGGTCTAGGGTTTAGGGTTTAGGGTTTAGGGTTTAGCATTTGTGGTCCGGACTTGCGAGCGGTTTTGCAGGCAAGAAAAAGAGAAAGAAGAGAGCCAGCAGCAGCAGCAGCAGCAGTAGCAGCAGCAGCAGCAGCAGCGAGGACGAAGAGGAGACCCCTGTCTCTAAGCCAGTTGCTGCTGCTGCTGCTGCTTCGCCAGCAGCAGCAGCAGCAGCAGCAGCAGCGCCTGCAGCTAAAGCAGCCACAAGGCCAAATGTTGCTGTTTTGGAAGCAGCAGCAGCAGAAGCCATGCACAGTGCGTTTGCGGACACCATAGCAGCTGCAGTAACAGCAGCAGCAGCAGCAGCAGCAGCAGCAGCAGTATCAGCAGCAGCAGCAGCAGCAGCAGTATCGGCAGCAGCAGCAGCAGCAGCAGCAGGAAGTTAAGAGAAAAACTGCAGGGGCTACTGCATCTGCAGTTTTATTTTCCAGCCCTCGCGTGGGCCCCGGTTTTTGGGGCGAAAGTAAAGGGCTTAGGGTTTAGGGTTTAGGGTTTAGGGTTTAGGGTTTAGGGTTTAGGGTTTGGGCTTTCAGACGCGGAAGAGGCTGCAGAGGGAAGTTCTTCTGAAGATGAATTGGTGGGGCCGAGGCCGATGGAAGTGACGAACAAACTGGCGCAGAAAAACGTCGAGTAAACCCTAAACCCTAATTCCTAAACCCTAAACCCTAATTCCTAAACCCTAAACCCTAGGTGGCAGGCGCGAAGCCGCAGCTGTGGAGCCCAAACCCTAGAAAGGAGTCTCGGGTTGCTGCTGCGGACCTGCTGCAGCAGCTGCGTCCAATTAGACCCCAATTCAGCATTTAGGGTTTAGGGTTTAGGGTTTAGGGTTTAGGGTTTAGGGTTTGTGTACAGCTACGGTTTCGCGCTGCGGCCTGGAGAAGGTGAAGCCATTGCCCAATTCGTGCAGGAGGGAAAGCGTATTCCGAGAAGAGGAGAAGTGAGAAAGGGTTTAGGGTTTAGGGTTTAGGGTTTAGGGTTTGGGGATTCCGGTATAGAGTTCAAGGGTTTAGGGTTTAGGGTTCAGGCGCCGAACCTGAGGCTGCAGCGCCGTTGCAGCTGCTGTTGCGCGTTTTGCTGCGCCTGCGCAGTTTAGGGTTTAGGGTTTGGGGTTTAGGGTTTAGGGTTTAGGGTTTAGGGTTTGTGTTTTAGGTTGGTTTGACGGCTGAAGAGATTTCGACCTTCGAAAGTTTGGGATACGTCATGAGCGGCTCCAGGTGCGGCAAACCCTAAACCCTAAACCCTAAACCCTAGCTTCAAACCCTTGAGCCAAAACCCTAAACCCTAGCTTTAAACCCTCGACCCTAAACCCTAGCTCGAAACCCTAGTCTGTTGAGGTCTTAAGTGAGCTTCTGGAAATAGCAAAAGAGATTTGAAAGTTAAAAAGAATAATTAATTTTAAAAATAAAAATAAATAAATAATAAATAATTAAAATCAAATTAATGCAATTGAAGAAATAGATTTAGCGCAAGGGGAAGGAATGCAGCGTGCGGGTCGGCTCTAGGGTTTAGGGTTTAGGGTTTAGGGTTTGAGGCCCTAGGGTTAAGGGCTCAGGGTTTGGGACCCTAGGGAACAAAGCTTAGGGTTTAGAGTTGAGAATTCTAGGGTTTAGGGTTTAGGGTTTAGGGTTTGCGGTGAATGTTTCCACGCAGCGCTGCATGAATGCAATTCACTGTTCAGTGTTTAGTGTTCATCGTTTCATGTTCCATCTTCACTTTCGAGGGTTTAGGGTTTAGGGTTTAGGGTTTAGGGTTTAGGGTTTTGTTGCAGGCCCCGTCGTATGAACACGATTGACTGTTTATTGTTTAGTCTTCAGTGTATAATTCTCATTGTTTCAGCTTCCATGTTCCACGTTCCGTGTTCGCTGTCAAGGGTTTAGGGTTTAGGGTTTAGGGTTTAGGGTTTAGGGTTTGTGCATAGGCACGATCGCAAGAACGCAATTCAGTAGTCCCTAGAGTTTAGTGTCTATCGTTCCTTGCCCAATTTCCCACGTTCCAAATTCCTTGTTAAGGGTCTAGAGTTTAGGGTTTAGGGTTTAGGGTTTAGGGTTTAGGGTTTAGGGTTTAGGGTTTGGCTGCAGGCACCGGCGCATGAACGCAATTCGGCTGCGGAAGGAAAACCAAGTTTACAGCGTGGAGGAACAGCGGGCGCTGGCGATGTTAAATTACGAAGAAAGAGCAGCTCGAGAAAGTCAATTGATTTATGATTTGAAAGAAATGCTGAAAAAACAAAACGAAACCCTCTTCGCCGAGGAGCTCGAGACAAACCCTAAACCCTAGCCAAACCCTAAACCCTAATTCAGCGAAAAGCGCAGCTCGCGAGGTGCTCATTGATGCCTGATTTGAAAGAAATGCTGAAGAAACAAAACGAAACCTCTTCTCGAGACAAACCCTAAACCCTAGCCAAACCCTAAACCCTAGCCAAACCCTAAACCCTAATTCAGCGCAAAGCGCAGCTCGAGAAGTACTCACTGATTTTCCCAAACCTTCTTCACAACTCCTTTGTTTTGCTTTGGGAGAAGCGGCTCCTCGAGCTCTGTTTGGGATTTGGGATCGGTTTGGGATTTGGGATCGGTTTGGGATTTGGGATTAAGTCGCGTTTTGCGTCGAGCTCTTCATGACACTGATTTAGGGTTTGAAAGAAGTGTTGAGGAAACAAAACGAAACCCTTTTCGCGGAGGAGCTCGAGACAAACCCTAAACCCTAGCCAAACCCTAAACCCTAGCCAAACCCTAAACCCTAATTCAGCGAAAAGCGCAGCTCGAGAAGTACTCACTGATTTAGGGTTTGAAAGAAATGCTGAAAAAACAAAACGAAACCCTCTTCACGGAGGAGCTCGAGACAAACCCTAAACCCTAGCCAAACCCTAAACCCTAAAAGAGCGTATACCGCGAAAACCAAAAACTGCAGCCAATTCATTTTTATATCTCCGATTAACTTTTTTCGCTTATGAAGGCAAAACTGGAGATTTACTTTTTCTTTTAGATTCTTTTATTTGAATTTTAATTAATTTATTTATTTATTTATTTATTTATTTATTTATTT